CGAACCGTGACCTCCTGGTTCATAAGTCGATGCTCAACCACTGAGCCACGCCAGCCGGGCTAAAGTAGAACATTTTGAAGTGGAAATTCTGATTTTTTTTTCTTGCATCCCCAATGTAATGGCTTCTACAGCCCGATTCGGAGAGCCCTGCCAAGGTCAGAGGCAGAAGCCCCCAGACCCTTCCTGCCCCTGAGACACCCCTCCCTGCCTCCTGCCTTGCTCTCTTGGGGCCTGGGGCTGGTAAATACTCAGACAAAGCAATGGACAGGCCCTTTGCTGGGCTCCTCCCACTTCTTCTTTCCCGGAGGTGGGATGTTGTGAGAGGGAAGAGAAAGAGCAGCCCTGAGGCCAAACAAGCACCAGTGACTAAGGTGGGAAAAGAATGCGGTCCTGTCTCCTAGTCAGGGATCCTTTGATCTCTCATTCCCACCAGATTAAAGGCTCCTTGACCATCGGGAGGCTAGGACGCAGGCATGGTAACCTACATCCCCCAATCGGAGGTGCTCCCGCAGCTGGGAGGGGAAAATGTGGTCATGGGAGGTGACCTCGGTGTACAGGGAGTTTGATGGTCTCAGGGCAGGTGGGGTCCCCCCTGGAGTGGGCTCTGGTGGAAGCGGCAACTCCGCTAGGACAGTCTTGCAGCATGGGTGGTTGAGTTTCTTGTTGACCTTGACTGGGACGGCCACTTCATTGACTTGGCTGAGCCACATGGGCAGCATTAGCAAGTACATAGTTACTGCCAACAAGAGAGTCAGCAATTTTTTCTTATAAAGAGTTCGATAATAGTTGTAGCTTTGCAGCACATGTGATCACTACTGCATCTTCTTTGTTTCTTACAACTCTTTACATATGCAACATCCATTCTTAGCTGGCCAGCCAGATTGATCCTACAGGCCACGATTTGCCAACCCCTGATCCACAGCCATGTCAGGCCAACAAGAGAATGCTGGGGGCTAACCCAGAATCTAGTTTGAATGCCCTAGTTCAGTGGTCGGCAAACTGCGGCTCGCGAGCCACCTGCGGCTCTTTGGCCCCTTGAGTGTGGCTCTTCCATAAAATACCAGGGGCGGGCGTGCACGTACAGTGCGATTGAAACTTCGTGGCCCATGCGCAGAAGTCAGTATTTTATGGAATGGTCAGCTCTAGTTGGGCCAGGCTGCCACCCAGAGGGTGTAGCCACCAAGTTGTCCAGCAGGAAGAATCGTGACTCCAGAAGGGCCAGAGACAAGAATCTTTAATTTTTAAAACAGGTCGTATAACTCCCACCCCTTTGCTCTCAGTCACTATCTAGGAAGCAGCCAAGTTGAACCCCTCTAGAAACACCCCCATTTCGTGACCAGACTCCCTGACTATGGTGTGTGGGCCAGGAGGTACAGTCAGAAACATATTTTTGAACTGATTTTGAGGAAAGTGTTGCAACAATAATACCAGATGCCTGCGGATGGTGGGAAAAGTAGGAAGACCCGTCCAATACCTTAACTATCAACTGCAATATGTCTGATGGGTTGGCTGGCTGCTGCACCCTAATGGACGCCGCCAGCATTTTAATTTATTTTTTAAAATATTTTTTTGATTCAGAGAGGAAGGGAGAGGTTGAGAGAGTAACATCAATGATGAGAGAGAACCATTGATCGGCTGCCTCCTGCTCGCCCCCTAGGGATCGAGCCAGCCACCCAGGCATGTGCCTTGACTGGTTCATAGGTTGACATTCAATCACTAAACCACACCAGCCATCAGCATTTTTAAAAATTGATTTTTAGAGAGAGAGGAAGGGAGAGGGGGGAGAGAGAGAGAGATATCAGTGTGAGAGAGAAACATCCATTGGTTACCTCCCTCACATACGCCGATGGGTGATCGAATCTGGGTTATATGCCCTGACTGGGCATCGAACTGGCAACCGTTCGGTGCACAGAACGACACTCAACCAACTAAGTCACACAGGCCAGAACTGTCAGCTCTTAACTGAGCTCAACAGGTAGCAAACCAGGCCCAGTGGATTGTGGGAACCTCTGGAAATGGGGAGATTGGGGCGGGGGGCACACTGAGCCAGTGGCCTTGCTTCAGGCAGTAGAGTGGGGAACAGCCTTCCCTCCAAAGGGGTAGCTGCTACTCTTCCATTGCAAAACAGATACATGAGTTCCAGGCCGGCTGCAACCCGAATATACCGTTTACACTTAACCGTGTCAGACCTTACTAGCTGTCAAGTTTGAGTGGCCTTCTCCAAAATGGAAACGTAAGGCTGGGATAGTCACAAGGCCTCCCGAGGGTCAGGACGCTGGCTGCTTTCAAGGAGAGCTTAATAGCTGCCTTTTCTTAAAAGAGGTGTCCATGGCCCTTGCTGGGGTGGCTCAATAGATAGAGCGTCAGCCTGTGGACTGGAGGGTCCCAGGTTCGATTCCCAGTTGGGGCACATGCCCGGGTTGCTGGCTCCATGGCCAGTGTGGGGCATGCAGGAGGCAGCTGATCAATAATTCTCTCTTATCATTGATGTTTCTCTCTCTCCCTCTCCCTCTCTGAAATCAATAAAAAAATATTTTTTAAAGGGGGGTGCACATGGTGGCTACCTCCGGCAGGTGGCGCTGTTGAGCTGGGAAATGGCCTCAGTTCGCAGCCATTAAATCATCACAGTTGAGATTTCCTTTCCTCCTTCTGGATTCTGCATTGTTCCGGTAGACTCCCACGAAGAGGGGGAGAGGGCGGCACATACTGCCCTTGCTGGTTGGCAGAACCCCGACACTTATAGGATATCCACAGGGTGAGCAGGGGGGACATCAGTATCAACTGTCCCCTCAATAGTGGAAGTCACTGCCTGGATGGCTTGGCTCAGTGGTTGGTTGAACATCAACCTGTGAACCAGGACGTCACGGTTCTATTCTGTGCCTGGGTTGTGGGCTCAATCCTCATTGTGGGGCGCGCAGGAGGCAGCCAATCAATGATTCTCTTTCATCATGGATGTTTCTATCTCTCCCTTCCCCTTTGAAATCAATAATATATATATATATTTTTTTAAATACTGGAAGCCACACTGCACACTGAATGGGCCCAAAGGTCCCTACCTCACAGCTTTCTTCCCCCACCGGGAGCCTTCTCAAGTGAATTCAGGTGCGTTTTCCTGCAGGGCACGTGGACCAAGGAGTCTAAGATGCCTGAGTCAGGGACGGCAGCATCAGCCTGAGTGGAAGTTCCCTCTGTGGGACATACTGTGTCCAAGATCCATAAATGCTGGTCCTTGTTGGACCTCCTTGGTAGGTAGAGGCTGCAGAACCAAACAGTTCATTCATTCATTCTTTCTTCTTTTTATTGTATATCTTTATAGTGTCACAAACAAGTGTGACAAATCATTCGGCATCTTGGTGTTTTCTAGAGCTGGACAACTTAGATCTTATTCATCAGCCTCCTGAACTGTTCCTTTTTCAGAAACAGAGACACCGTCCCCAAATTTTCTGATATCCTTGGGTTTTTTTTTAAAATATATTTTATTGATTTTTTACAGAGAAGAAGGGAGAGGGATAGAGAGTTAGAAACATCGATGAGAGAGATCAATCAGCTGCCTCCTGCACACACCCCAGTGGGGATAAAAAAAGAGAGAGATAGAGAGCTAGAAACATCGATGAGAGAGATACATCGAACAGCTGCCTCCTGCACATCTCCCACCGGGGATGTGCCCGCAACCCAGGTACATGCCCCTGACCGGAATCGAACCTGGGACCTCTCAGTCCGCAGGCCGACGCTCCATCCACTGAGCCAAACCGGATTCGGCAAAGCAGCTGAATTTGACACAAGTTCAATGTCATTGCCTTCGAGAATCAGCTCTTCGTTCTGGGCTTGAGATACTGATCAAGCGACTCCTGGCCTCGTCCGAACTCTGCGGATGTATTTTTCGCCCAAGAAATTTCTACATTTCAACGAGAGAACCCTTCGCCTCAATAACGACGTTGGTGGGGAAGTGAGCGGACGCAGACCTCATCTTGAAACAGAAGCCCAGTGTAACGCCCTTGATCCTGTCCTGTATATGACCGCAGATAGGGCGAACTGTGGCCAGTTCCTTCCTGTTTCCCATTTGTCAATCCGGAGCCTCTTCTTTTTCTTTCCGAGGAGCCTGAGCTCTACATGGATGTGGTTGAAGTCCCTCTGCAGGGTGCCCCCGGGGCCCTTCACAATAACTGTGCGCCCCTCCAGCGTGATGTCCACATTTTCGGGGATGTCCACAGTCTGATTGCTGAGAATGGTCGTCATCCTCGCAGTAGATGCGGCAAAGAGGAAGCCTCGCTCTTTCTTTTTTTTTTAATCTAATTTTGTTTTGTTTGTGAATCCTTACCCGAGGGTCTTTTTTCCCATTGAAATCTGGTTGCCGCACAACACTTGGCCATGTTTCAAAGCCACTCTGCACCCAAAGAGGCAGATAGCTGGAACCGCTCCAACGTGGAGAAAGGGTGTTTTGGTTGTGATTTCTGGAGGCGCTGGTTGTTGCCGGCTTTCCAGCTATTTAACTAATAATCGCTGTCGGTTCAGCCTTGTCATTACCAGTTTAGCTTGTTGTGGGTTGTTTAGTTAAACTGCCTGGATAATGATGCATATTTGCTTGATTCCTTGTGCGCGTGGCCTGTAATTTCCCACTAATTAGACTTTTTAAAGACACATAGGCTGTTATCTGCTCAAATTTGCATCATCTGTTCCCCTGTTGCCAATGCAGATGTACACAGCGCCCACCCTCCCCGCTCCAAGGAAGAATTTGCTTCCGCCCCTGAGTTCTGTAAAGCAGGGAGCTGGGGGGTGCGAGCGGTTCTCTTCCCGCTGAAGTGAGAGCCATCAAAACAGCGCCGACAAGAGGGGCTGGGCCAGAGTCAGATAGGAATAGTGGGGCTGAGAGGAGGGAGCAGACCCCGAGATGTCGGAAATACAGCAAACTGACCAAGGATCACAACCCCCACCTCCCCGCCAGCTCTAACCCCGACGCCCCAAGGATCTGGACACCACCAGTTCCCCAAGAATCAAGCATCCAGACTCTCAAGTGGCTTTATTTCCCCCGTGTGGGGAGCTGAGTGCCTCTGTGGTCCCTGTGCCCCCAGGGCCCTGTACCCTTCTCCCGCCCAGCGGGCTGTGGCGGGGCCTTCAGGGGTGGGCCCTGCCTGGGCTCCTGAGGCTGCTCCTCCCAGAGTGGGGCTGGTTCTGGGAGGGGCCGGGCCTGCTGTGGTTCCATCGGGTGAGACTCCTGCAGTGGTGCCGACAGCGATCCAGTCCGCGGCATGGGGCCCACCTCCAGACAGGGCCGCCACGTACTGGGGTGCAGGGCCAGCCAGGCCTTCCTCTGGGGGCAACAGCTCCCCATGGCGCTACTCCTTGAAGCCTGCCGTCAGGGCTCAGTCTGGGGGAGGGAGAGGGGCGAGAACAGGTGGTGGGCACAGAGCGGAAGACAGTGGGAGGCCGGCGAGAAGCAGAAAGACCCAGGAAAGGTCCAAAGGAAGCCCAGAGGGTGGAGGAGAGACAAAGAAAGGATCGCGAATGAGAAAGAGAAACAGGGGAACACGGGCCGGGAAAGGAGGCAGTGACAGAGGCCGGAGGTACATGCAGGGCGGCCCTACCCACTCACCTTTGGGTCCAGGCGGGGTCGGGGGTGAAGGCCCCCCTGGCGGAAGCAACGCAGAGCGGCTCAGGGCCTCGGCCACCCAGCCCAGGACGCGGCTACAGTGCTGGACCTGGGGAGCAGATGGGGTATGGGTTGGGGGGCCCT